TGTCACGGCAGCTTTGTAAATTTACGTGTGAAATTTTAAACTACGGACCAGATAAAATAGGAAGTATTCACGAGTAATTCATTTAAGGACAGTTGGTATAAAGTATTGCTAGTCTTGCAAAAATCGGTCCTTCTTCATCTATGAGTAATACATATTGCTTAAGCATTTGAATAACGGAATAATATTCCCTTTGTTTCTGTAATCATAATTTACATCATACGCTTTGACAGTCTGTCCTAAATTTAACAAAAACACGCTATGTATTTCATAGAATTACTTGTGACAAACAGAAAGATGTCGTTGCCACAAGCGAAAAAGGTATCTGTTCGACCTATGATCTTTCTGTTGAATTCTAAATTGATTGAGCCACCGATCAAGCAATTTCAAAAAGACCACGGTCTCTTACAGTAAGCTAGTAACATTCGCCAGGAAAAGAAACATTTTCTTTTAAAGATCTTGAATTGAAATGGACGCTAAGCCGGTCAAAAGGGTTTCATGAAATGGCAGCAATGTCGATCTATGGTGGGACATCACTTACATTCAGTATTAAGAAATATGTTGTCAAATACACAAACATGGGGTTATTACGTTTACCAAGTAAACTTTAATTCAAACCTGTTGCTAGTAGTAGTTAATACTGGAAACTTAGTGCAAAGCTGTAAATAAAATAGTTCTCCAGCATATTGTTTGTGAATTGCATGATCTTCTAATGGAATATTTCAAGTTTCCTTACAATTGCGGGCAAATAATGAGACGTTTTAGATTTAAAAACACGATAAGAGAAGAATAATAGCAAAGGGACAAACGAAGAAACAAACCTTCACAAAATGACTGATTTAATTGGATTAGGGGAGGGGTGGGGGAAGGGAGTTTCCTATATCTCGAGACACTTCGCTAAGGTACAACTCATCCCTTCCTCCCTGCGCCACCCAACCTTGTCTATGACAAAAGGGGGGGGGAGGGAGAGGGGTTATAGAATTAAAACATACATTTGCGATGACAAAAACGATGTGGAAAATGACTTGTACATGTGCGAGACAGACGCTTTATTCTGTGGAAAACTAAGTCCATGACAAGATAATTAAGAACTGTAATGCTTCACGGTTGTTATATCAAGAATAAATTTAAAATATGGTAAGCTTACTATGGTCCGGAGTTCCAAATCAGGAAAAATAAGTTACCATGACCGCAAGCTTTCATAGCTTATGGCGGACTCATTTATCAGAAGCGTTAAGTCCAAGTTGGGCATACCATCAATATTAATACCCGAGGATAGGATGCTATGAAGGTATTGGAAAAGGAGAAGAATTGGAAAGTAAAAATACGGCCCCTTGTATTTTCAGAAAAATGTGCTGAAAACTTTGGGTAATATTTGTAATTATGATAGAGGTTGGATACAACACGCGCTATATCGGTTGAAAGAGCGTGCTCTATCAGAGTATAGAGCATGGACTGATTTAAAACTATATCACGATTTAGAACTATCACGATTTAAAACTATCACGATTTAGAACTATCTAGCGTTTGTTCGTTAATTAGTTAAAGTGGCATTTCGGAATAAGCGAGCAGGTACGTAGTAACAGAAGAACTAATCAAAAGTTTGTAGGAATGCCAAGCGCCGTAATTTGCGATATCATAACCCGTGCAAGGACGAAAATCCTTAAATAGAAAAGGAAATGGACAATTTGAGTTCCGAAGGCTTTCATACTCAGTTAGATTGTAAGGTTACGTACGGTAATAAAAATCGAACACAGCTAGCACTCGTCTAGTATATGTAGTTTCGTGTTTAAAACAAAACAGAAGAGAAAAGTTTTTGGTGAAATTAAACTTGAAAATATATATAAAGTGGCATAAATATTAAAATTCATACAAATCGTGTCGATGTCAGAGCTTCTGCGATCATGCTGAGGTGAATCACGGCTAGCTCATCAGGTGATACTCGGTCCTCGTAGTGAAGCAAGCCTCAGAAATTACATCGGTCAAGCGCCCTTTAGGTGAACTGAACTGTGAGCTCGCTCTAATGTCCTTTCCGATCGCTGCGTCAGAGTTGAAGGCCAATCAGTCACAGCAGCCAACTTTTACGTCGCTGTCATCCAGAGTAATATTCTTGTTCCGATCTTGTCCTTCTTGTCGTGTAAACAAAAAAAAAAACAAACAAAACAAAACAAAACAAAACAAAAAAAACTAGCGCGTTTTTTTTAGATATGAGCCACAATTCTGGGGGGTTTCAGTGAACATTTCACAATTAGAATCTGTGTTAAAACGAGGGCTTTAGGCAATGGTGCTAAATTCGGCCCGCCAAATTCGAACTATTTCCTTTTTTGTGAGCTATTGCAGATCGTGAACGAACTTCGATGGTCTATAAACTTTAATAGCTCGATATTTTTGACAGCTTTAGTCTTGTTCAACCAATCGGATCACTTGAACCATTCTAACAGGGATTCTGATTGGCTTATTGTAGTCTGCATTATGAGAGTATAGAGCATGTTGACGATACTGTTGTTCGCACTAAAAATAAAGCTTCTTTTGAAAATTGAAAATAATGCGTAGGAAATTTAACAGATTCTTCATTATAAAACAGATAGAAGAGCCATGACTGTACTCTGTTCTATTGTTAGGCACTCAGGAAGCGGCTAGAGCACTCACGAAATGGACAGATATGCTAAACTACATCTCGTGTTTTCCCCCTACACTGCTTCTTTCGTGCTCTATCCGCTTCCTTTGTGTTTTAAAATAGAATAGAGCACAATGGAGGCTTCTCTTTTTGTTGAATAAATGTTTATTCACACCTGTCATATAGATAGATTTACTTTCGCACGTTCAAATTTATAGCATTTTTTTCATTCCTTCAAATGGGTAAAGTTCCAAAAAGAAACCTTTTGGCAAAGGGTTTCACGTTACGTGACATTTCAGGACTCTTTCTCTATTGACTGTTTAATTATTTTGAAATGACAGTCTACACTCTATAAACACTCTCACTAGCCAAATGAATGGGAAAACACCAAACTCAGTCATGGTAGTCATTTAATTAGTTTATATTCAAGGAGTTTATCAAACTGTAGAATTGTTTTGACTCCAACCTATAATACAAGAGACTTCAATTAGTCAAAATTGGCTCGTTGGGTGAAGAAGTACGTACCCCAAAGGAAGTTAATGAGTGATACTACTAATAATCATCATAACACTTAGAATCTCTAGATTTTTCTTCTCTTCTTTGTTTTTGTTTTCTTTTTCATCGTTCGTTCGATTCTAAAAGAGAAATTTCTCTTTTAAGATTCCACAAAACAAGAGGCTTGTTAATGGGCATTTGTCGGGCACAAATAATGTTTGAAGAAAATAGGAAACAAGAACAGTTAAGAAACTTATTGTCCCGCCCAATTTTGATTAATAATGAATGACGATAGCAGCAAAACTTCGCAGGTTTGGCTCTTCAAGAACCTAAAGCATTAGAGATGGAAAATTGATGGTTCTCGCATTTGTTTCCCTTTATTGAAAATATTTTCAAAAGGGAAACCTCTGTGATAGCGGATTAAAAACGTTGTTTTTTAACAAGACTGAGAAGATGGCCCGCTCGATGCTCTCTTTCATATTTCTTCTTTTTTCGTTTGGAGGCTGGTTCTACACCTCAATAGCTGCAAGCCATGGTGAGTTAACTCCTTAACATTCTTTTGGGTGGGTTGGATGAAAATGTAGACTATGGCAACTCCCTAAAGTAATACAAATCTGGAGTTGCAGAAAAGTAAGGGCCCGACACTTGAGTGCAAAGAAATTTTGTATTTTGTCAATAAGATTAACCAATTGAAAATGATGAAGAAGGAAACTACGATTTTACAAAGCGCTAACAAATTTAGAAACTTTCTAAACGAGTTGCAACAAAATCAATAGTGTACGGGAACTTCATTCGTCACGGTATTTTGGTTTGAACTTTTCGGCGACGTTTCCAAAGTTTTCAATTTTTACAAAATTTGTTCAGATCAATTTCATCAATAAAAAATCAGATATACGTAATAAAAGTTCTCATTCGGGATGATGAATAACTCGGATGGCAACGTATAAGTGGCACTTAGACCTTTGTAACTTGAGGAGAGAATATCAAAAGGTGGAATTTGGTTTAAAGGTTTTTGTTGCTCAAGAGTTATCTTTTGCAGTTTTTATTTGAGTCTCTAAAGCCATTAGACTCGTAAATATACTCATTGCGTTAGCTATATTAAACGCAGCGAGTATGAAAACTCTGAGAAAAATTTCATATCGTCGTAGCGTTTAACTTCAGGTGGTTAAAGAGTGTTTGACTTCAGTTCTGTCTCCATGTATTAAAATAACAGAGTATTCATTTAAATCATTTTATAGCGGAAGAAACAAAGGTATCTCTAAGATTGCGGAAGATAAGGAAAACGTTTGGATTATTATAATTTTTACACGGAGACGCCTTCTCATGCTTTTAATCATTGAGCAAAACCACAAATAATATTTCCCTCTATGACGCTCGAGTTTTAAACTTTCAAGATAACGAGGTAATCATCGAGCGAGTATGAGAATTCTTTATCTACGTTATCGTATTTTTCATTTGAGAAATACCCTATAATAAGCAACATCTTTGCTTTTTGAAAATGCAGGAAGCTGTTTTAAACAAACTACCTTGAAAACTTTTAAAATATGATTTAGTCCACAGGGAAAAATTGAATATAGCAAATAAAAACCTCATCCGTTGTATTGAATAGACGGTTGTCTCAGTATTTTGTCTCCTCTTGACTACTTAGCGTATGTAAGGAAACAAAAGAACTACTTTAGGGTTAGGTAGGCCAGTGAGCGGTCCTTTAGAAACAAACAATTGCCTCAACTAACCCAACTTACAGTGACTCATTTGAAAATAATTAGCCAGATCTAGAAAGGACGCCAAGAACACAAGATGTGCGGAGTTTGAATAGAGACATTCTAAAGAAAAAAAAAAAAGAAAAAAAGTCGTCGACGCCAGGTTACAATTAATTTCAACAAAACAGTTTCTTTCTTGTTACGAAAACGCTTTTACTAGCAGGAACTTTACGTCAGTATTTCATGGAAGTCCACGCGACTCCATTACTAGAATTGCAAGAATTCTCAATTTTTTTTTTTCCGGAGACACTTATGTTTTTCATAGAGAAAACAACCAACCCATAACAATTCCTAGTGATGTTGATGGAAAAACATATCACTTATTTATGATTTTCGATCAGTTTTAAGCAGACACCTGGTCATGTTTTTCGATCCTCAAAAACTAAAAATAGGTGAAACATCCTAATTTCACTTTCGTCCTTAATTGCTATCACATTAATCATCTTCCTACTCTCAGAACATAAAGAAAACTAATATAAAAATGAATTCTTCGTCCTCATTTCGATGGCCTCTATTGAAGCAGAGGGACTTTACTTACATGCAATCTATGCAATAGCTTACGAACAGGACATTTCAACAATTTCTTCAACTGAGTTAGCCTTTGAAGTAAAGAAAGTAGGGAAATAAATATTTATAGGCGATGTGAAATAACTCTTTGTCTGTATATAACAAATAGAATGATAAATTTTTCAACAATGGGTCATTAATAATTTACTCAGTGCGAATACCACAGAAGCAGTTTTGATTAGTAAGCCTGTTACGAGGATCGAATTATTTTCACTGAATCTGTCACGCAATCCCAGACTTTTCTAGAATTATCTATAATCTGTAATATTCCAGAAACTTCTCTCATGTGACTCAGCAGTTTCCAAAAATAGTACAACTTACGCTATACAAAGTAATAGAACATTCTAGATAACTAAAGTAAATGTATAAAAGCTGGCTTGTGAGAAGTACAAAAGGAGATTTGCCCGAGGGCTTACCCTCGTGGCTTGCTGACTGAACTTTTGGAAGCTATGATATGACGAGGCTATGACCTTTTGACCTTGCGATATCCGGAGAGAACAAATAGATGAAAAAGACGATAGTCGAGACAAGAAGAAGATAGAGAATACAGAGTTTACTATGGAGTCCTCCGGAAGAATTTGTGTACAAGGAAAGAATGCGATAAATCAAGAAAGCCAAGCGTTGTGGTCTTCAGTCGGCGGATGTTGGAATTGGAAGTTGATCAAGACGACGAACACTTACACGGCATGAAGGATTGTAAACCTGCTTTATGAACTGCCTAACTTAATCTCTAAACTAAGTAGATTAAACAGTGTAAAACTAATTAAATAATAGTTAAAATGGGTAACTGCTTGTTGTTACATTTTTGTTGCGTGCCATATATCGTACTCGGGAGTCTTTTTTTCATATATGCTTTGTTAGCGGACATTTGTTGGTCATTCGTGCACGTAACAAGTCGAAAAGTGAGAGATAAATAATCCATGGGAATAAAATTAACAAATCGACAGTGGCTTAGCGACAACGATATTCGTCATCACAGCGGCCAAAATGTTTTGGATTCTTTCGAAGTGTGACACCTTGCGTTACACGTTGATGCGAGCAGCGTTGTCTGTACTCTTATCAACAACAGCAAAGTGGCCAATTAGATTTCGAAATTGCTGCCAGTTGTGGTAAAACTCAGTACCTAATATTCCTATGAACTTATCTTTATCTCTAAGGGCTAACCTCTTTTGACTCGGGAATGTTGGAAGTTGGAAAAACTGTTTATATTAAGAAAATGAGAATTAAGCGTGCTTGGTCTTTTTCATCTTTCGAGCTTCTTATAAGCACTTTAGCTCAAGTCGGTAAATTGACGAGAGCTATAATTTTCCCAAAGAGTTTTAGTCAGCAAAAGCAAGCTGTTTTCTATCGCTGTTTAGGTTTAGTTAAAAAACAAAATGTAAAGAAAGGTTCAAATGGAGAAAGAATGCCTTTCATGTACCTCTTACATATTTTTCCTTTGTTCAGATCTAGTTGAGGAAGATTGCAATGAACAAGGTACGAAGTCATAACGAACGCAAAAGGAAATGATTTTCTAAAATTCCATGCATCTTGACATTATTCCTTACATTTATTCTTTTGGTTTTCATCTTGGGATAAAGTTTCAGAGAGTGAAAATAAGCACATTTAGGGGCATAACATATGTTATTTGCCAGGCTTGATTGCAAAAATTTAAATTTTGTCCATTGAATAACTATTTAAAATACATCGTGAAATATTTACAGAAAAGAAGAGACCACTTAAGGGGCCTAACACATTTTTAAGAATAACAATATTTAAATTAAGGATAACAATATTTAAATTAAGGATTACAATATTTAAGGATAACAATATTTAAATTAAATGCAAAAAGCTCGCTCCGCTTAGCAGTGTGGAAAGCTTTCTTTTTTCCATTTTTTCTTTTTCTTTGCCCTACCACTCGGATTCGTCTTTGCTCGAAACATTCTACTTCAGAATCTTTTTCTTTATCACTTTTTTTTTCTTAGCCACATCAGCTGAAATTCATTTTTATCGGAGAGCGATTTACATTTTGAAACTTTTAATCCACTAAGAACGCATGAAAACGGAAGCAAAATCAATCATTTCAGCCCCTTTTTTGGATTTTTTTTTTTTCACTCACAAAAAATCCTGAACTCCGGTTCTTATATCGCGATATTTTTATAGTTCTATTTTCGGGTGTTAAAGGAAAAAGAATATCGCAGAAGGGTTATGAAATAAATAGTCTGGCCTCTAAGTGGTTCATCAGTGGGAAGACGATACGATAAACAGTCCATTATTTTGGGCAGAAGGATTTCAAAATCCGAATGGAAAGTAGTTTTAGCTCATGAATTGATGTCCATGAAAATTGTCGAATCTCTAAGACCTCCCTGTTTTTTGTAAATAACGGTTTTACTCAACATTACTCAATTATATTAAACTAAACAAAAGCTATCCTCTAATGTCTGACTTTATAGATAGCTGTCGGCGTCTAAAGTTCTTGCAACAGAAAGATGGATCTGGATTGGTAGGCCACGTCATTCAAAACATTTCATTACCAATCGGAATGCATATCTATAGTCACTGCAGAAACTGGTGTACAATGGAAGACAGGTGTAGATCGATCAACATGGGACCCTCAGGAGAAAATGATAACGTTTTATGTCAATTGAGTGACTCGGATCACTTACAACACCCAAATGATCTGAAACCTATGGCAGGCTTTATGTATAGGGGTACGGAGGTAAGAGTTTTATTATCACTTTTTTTGTGTGTGTTTTTGTTTTTTGAGTTTGCTGCTGTTCGTAAGCCCTTTGTACCGTTTGATAGAGTTTCCTCGCTCCTCTGTGAGCCTTCGGCAACTCAGATAAGGCAACTTTATTTCAAAACCTTTTTAAAATGAGACCTGTGTTACAATATTTTCTCAACCGCCAGAAAGATACAGCTCGTACGAAATTAACTACTTAATTAACTGACGTAATAATTACGGATACCAATACTAATACGATAACTATCTTCTTAACTTAGAGCCCTCTATAGCTATAAAGCTATAACCTCAGTGCACTACTCTACAACTCACAGCTTCCTTCAATGATCCTTGTAACGTGTCGACGTCCACAATACTTTTCCCAACGTAGCCTTCCGCACGGCTGACGATTCCAATAACAGTAAATAACTCCAACAACTCTCTGTGGTCCGGCTCTGTAAAAACACTAGCTCCTCTGGGCTCTTCACGACAACACTAACTCACTGAAAAAGGCCCAACTTTAACTGCTCGCGACTCCTTCTATATCTTTCACAAAATGTTCTCCAACATTCTAGGGATTTGTAATAATATCAATTTTAGTATAATGACATCACTATAGCATCATAACAAAATATGCTAAGGGTTCAAGAAAGTTCCATTAAGAATTCTCAATGAGTCAGCATGACTAAGCGTTCTAGAAACTTCTTGAGTTCTATTTTTAGGAGTTATGTAACGCAATGCACTCTCCATAACACCTGAGAACACTTGAATCGGTCAAAAAGGAAAAAAAAAGATAAATGAGTTAAAAAAAAACAAAGCTCCCATATCACGCACGTCCTGATTGGCTGAGACAGCATGCCTTATCAGAGCATCAAGAAGGGAGAACGAATCGTTTCTTCCCCTTCGCTTCTTTTACTCTCTAACCGCTTCACCCTTCGCACTTTACAACAGAACAGAGTAAAGTCGAGGCTTCTTTATTTGTTAAACAAAAAATGATAAAACTCCAAGTATGCCCCGTATGGATAAAAAGTATACATCTCTCGCATGAATAGCATCTCCCATATTTTATGATAAAATAAAGCTTAGTATCTTTCCCCATCAGAACAAGTGTTGTTTAAACATGTGCTACAACGATGCAACTTGCCTGGTTGTATTTACGGATGAGGGATACAAGTGTGTTTGTCCACCTGGTTACACGGGAGACCACTGTGAAAAAGGCAAGAGTTATTTTGCACGTGCGCTCTAATAGTCATGTTAGCCACTGCAATTATGCGTCTCTTTTGCGAAGGAGTCGAAAACGAAGACCCAAAACCGAAGGCCTAAGACCTAAGACCAACCTGCTAAAACGAAGACCCCGTGGTCTAAAACGAAGACCCCGTGGTCTAAAACGAAGACCTTGTGGTCTAAGACGAAGACCCACTGGTCTAAAACGAAGACCTTGCGGTCTAAAACGAAGACCCTGTGGTCTTAAGCGAAGACGCTCTCAGTCTCAAACGAAGACCCTGTGGTCTAAAACGAAGACCCTGTGGTCCAAAGCGAAGATCCTGTGGTCTAAAACGAAGACCAATTGTTCTAAAAACCTATTTTTCAAGGAAAGGCTATACACGAAGCTAAACTGCTTTCATTTCTGTAGCGCATAAATTAAAATGTCATCCGAACGCGCGACCGACTTGACAGTTATGTCAGTCAGTACAACCATGTCAAATTGTGTAACGCAATTAAATCCTAAGAATATAGAAATATACGTTTTAAAGACGAACTTGATATATTTTGTCGTCACAAATACTCAATTTTTCAAATGTATATTCATTATTGAGCAAATTACGGTGAGGTGACCTCATCACTTTGTTACACTGTATTATAAAAGCGCGAAGGTCAACTGTGCGTTACTCGCTAATTTATTCACCACAGGCCACATGGAAGATCTCCCGCCAGATTATTTCCCGCCAGTTTTCTAGTTTGGTGTATGACATTTTTGACCTATACGAAAGCCGCGACAGTTCTGTAACTGTTAATCGTTTTTACACTTGTCTAATATATAATCAATTACAGATTTCACCGGGGACATTGACACGTGTTGTGTGCGCTCAGATGAAGCGCGCCTAGATGACATTTTGATATTATGCACTGCACAAATTTAGTGTTTCTGGTTTTAGGCCATTCTGGCGGGAGATCATCCTTGTAGCCTATGGTGAATAAATTAGCGAGTCACGCACAGTTGACCTTTGCGCCTTTATATGATAAAGACAGTGTAGCAAAGTAGTCACCTCATCGTAACTTGAAAAAAAGGTTTTTAAAACAATGGGTCTTTGTTTTACACCAGTGGGTCTTCGTTTTAGACCAGTGGGTCTTCGTTTTAGACCATAGGGTCTTCTTTTAGACCACAGGATCTTCGTTTTAGACTACAGACTCTTCGTTTTAGACCACAGGATCTTCGTTCTAGACCAGGGGGTCTTCGTTTTAGACCAGCGGGTCTTAGGTCTTCGTTTTTGGGTCTTCGTTTTGGACACATCCTATCTTTTGTATCCATGTTACCATGGTCTCGTATGCTTCGACATGTCTTCTGATGACTTACGAGTCATTTATTATCCAACTGTGCTTCTTAGAGCACAAATAAGGCCCAGGACGAGTTCAAATGTCTCGCTGTATTTGTAATCCACAGAGCTTAGACAGGTCTTCTCACCGCGCAAGCGACGAATTGGATTGAAGTTACAAACGAAGCTGGCGCAAAATTTAATTTATTTCTTAGACGACGAAGAGTCGGAATGGCTGGCGAATATTGATCCAGATTTTTTCGATAAAGCGAAGGAAGGAAAGCAGGTAGACGACATTGAAATTTCAACATATGGTGAAGGAAACAGAAACAGCAACACGACATCGCGGCTGATTCCGCATCGCTCAGCACTCCCAGTAAATAGATATCCGCGAAATTCGCCCGCACTGAAAACGTGATTTGGCGCATGGGATAATGAAACGTTTTGATGCGTAGTATCGCTAAGTATTTTTACTCGTTGTTTGTATTTTGACACCCTACGAGATCGTAAAAATACTCAGCGATACTACACAACAAAACGTTTATTAAGATAACTGTATCACTCGATTTCCCTTTACATCATTCCACGAGTTGCACTTTTAGTGAGCTTTCTATCTTGTGGAGTATCACAGGTCATCCAATAAGAACATACCTCCAAATGCTTATATCAATTTTTTTTAACTCTCATTACTGACGGAAAGAAGTTTTTTCTACAGATGTAGACGAGTGTACCACCAATACGCACTACTGTGATATCAATGCTGAGTGCAACAATACCGAAGGTTCTTTTAACTGCAACTGCAAGGTTGGATTCAAAGGCGATGGCAAAAAATGCACGGGTAACTATGAAAACTGTCCACCTAAGTTGTTCCAAGCATCCAAATTGTTTTGTTTATATTTGCCTAAACTTGACGAGCGTACCAAGAACATCGACGAATTTCATAAGAAAGCTGTGTATAGTAAAAAGAGGAATCAGTCGGCTGCAATTGTGTCATTTATCACGCGTTACATCCATCGCGTGTTCATTTCCTTACGCGGTTCGTGTCTAGAGTGCCATTTCCTGTCATCAAATGATTAACGAGTCGTGGAAGACAAACCATGCTTTTTTTCGGTTTTGGTTGCATTACAACATTTGTGATTGGAGTTTAGCCAAGTTTACGATGTTTTTAAGCACAGATATATTTTCATTCTGCAATCGATATCATTGTTAGCATCACGTCACGCACGTCTCACGCCCTCCTTTTGCCTTAGAAGACTCGTATCCTTTCTTGATGATGTGTGCTAATTAATTTAGTTTCAGATTTTTTTATATTTGGATAAGTTCTTTTTGTGAATTAAATAATAGCTATCATTGGTCGCGAGCGCTTTCAGTGATATTTCAGGTTTGTAAAAGTTGCATATCATAGGTTAAACAATCAGACTAATTCTAGAAAATCCTTTTATCATTTGTCACTATTTCGTCCGACCGGAAAGCATTCGTTTCTTCAGATTTAAACGAATGTTCCACCGATGCTCACAACTGTGGTGTCCATGCTCACTGCAACGATACCGAGGGTTCCTTCAACTGCAGCTGCAAAGAAGGGTTTAATGGCGATGGCAAGAACTGTACAGGTAATTCTGACATTTGTTAATCTTAAGTTTAACCAGCACCGAAAACGATAACTTTATAATACCTGTGATTTTGTATTTTCTGAACATGACGAGACCTTCTCTTTTGCCCTCCAAGCATCTTGCGTGTATCTATATCGCGACAATTCGCCATAACACAGACTAGTCCTACTGATTGGAATGCAAAACCGAGTGCAACAGAGAAAGTGGAAAATGTTCTGCCTTTTCATTTGAGAAAGTCCTGACCATCGAGAAATCGATGTTAATTACGTCACTTTTTAATGTGTTAAAAATTGCTTTCTCCTACTGCACTTTGCCTTCCTTTACTTGGAAAAAAAACTCGGGGGTAGGGAGGGGGTTTGAAGGAACTTAAAGAGCTCTTGTTGGGTATGTGCCGCTGGCCTCCCAGGATCCCCACTTTATTGTTGTCTCAGTTGTGACCAACTGTGGACCCCACCACTTTGGGTCATGATACTTGAACAATTTTTAAAAAGCGCGTTTCCCATTTCTTAATCCCCATTTGTCACAAGTTTCGTAAACCCAATATCCCGAAAATGTTTTCTAACGGAAAGCCAAAAGCTGCTGTCAATCAAAAACTAAAAAAAAGGATTGTTCTTTTTGTTATATCTCATGAATATTCATGTAAGTCAGCGCATGCTCAGTTGAGCGTTCTTTGCCATACGCTCGGTTCGACATGTTGAATTAAATCGTTGGGTTCTACAGTATTGATTACATGTGTCCTCTCGGTTATTCAAATCCTCGACACTACACCTTTGATAAGAAATATACGGACATGCATCGTGCATAACTCCTTTCCTGAGGAAAGAAAAGGTATCAGCTGTTTTCAGAAAGGTTGTCGGAAAAAGCGAAAGCTATGCTACATATTTTTTTCTTTGTTTCTAAACGGTTATCCACTGATTAAATATTATGTTTAGATGGTAATTTCCCACTATAATTTCGTATTTACTTTTTACTCGCCACTATGGACTAGACTTTCTCAGATGAAATGCCATTAAGAACGTAAATTTTATGACAATATCCTACCTCAGTAAAAAAATATTCCCAAGGATCATTCTGCGTCTGTCAGTGAATTTTCCACTCATTTTCCACGCACTTTGATATTTTCTTTGCAAATAAAATTCGTTTTTTGCTACTTTGGACTTCACCCCATCACGTGTCACGTATTTCGCAGGGACAGGGATAAGGCCAGATAGGCAACAAGCGACATCGATCTAAGCTGCGCTTAGATTTCTCTTTCTCCGATGACAATCCAAAGCCACCACGCTATCAAGGAGTAAATTATCTACAGTCCGACTGCATTTCTTCCTCCTTTCGTTCCTTCCAATGAGTAGATTATCTACCTTCCCACTACATTTCTTCCTTCCTTCCTTTCTTCCTTCCTTCCTTTCTTCCTTATTACTATTATTATTATTATTATTATTATTATTATTAAATAGGTTTCTTTTGCACATTCTGCTTTTTCTCAAGAAGGAAATAAGCGCTCTGTACCTGATGCCGGATTTCACTGTCACACCATCATCAAAACCATGGAACAAATAAATTCAAGAATCAAAAGAATGAAATAATATGAATATTCAAATAGCCCAGCAAATATTCAGGTCTGGGTGATGTTTTATGTGAAAGATATTCGAAGAAATGTTTCCCTCAAGGCTTTGTACGAAGACGCCATGTTGGGACACCAATATGGCGGCCGGAAGCTAACAAAAACATATGTCATCGAGTTTTGCCATAAAATTCTTGTAGTCGTCTTCTGAGGGCTCAGAAGACATCTATATGAGTTCTGGTTCTCGCACAAGAACTGTTCATATTGCGAAGTCTTAGCAAATAAGTCACTTTTCTTTAACCTATGTGACAGCATGTTAATCTCCTGTCATGCAATACCTTAGAAATTTAACCGTGCTTTATCACAAGACGAAAACCGATCAAACTGAAAATTTGTGAAAAGATACTTCAGCTACTCTATTAACTAACGAAACTAAAATCTCATAAATATTGATAGTTCCTTACTTGTAATTTTGATAACACGACATGAAAACCAGGAATTAAAACCCCTGGTTCGAAAAAGGCCCCTTTATTGGTGTACCCGGATGTTAAATAAAAATGTTACGGTGCGCTCAATTCTCCACTTTTATCACGCAGAATGACCGGATATCATCAGTTATTCATAAGCACTGAAGCGGAAAAATTTTAATGCAATAGCTCAGAATATGAATAAGCGAAGAAAGGCAGAAACTAGCGCCGCATCAATGATAAAACTCGCCTTTCCGATTTCCAGAAGCAAGAAGTTAGACACCCAAGAGAGGCTTTTGAATAGGAAAGGTATATCTTTAATTCAGGATTAAAAAGAGGAAGTTTAAGGAAATATGAAGACTATTCCTTAAGCTTTGGTAACGGACAGTTTTAGTCAAAGACCCAATTTCAAAAGATCATTTTAACAAAGAAGACAGACGCAACATTTTCAACCACAATCAGATGCGATGCTGGATATTCTTTCAGGGGAAATATTTCGTGACGAGAGAGTACGTGTCAATTGAGAGGCAATCAATTGAATACATGATCGAATGAAAAATAGATTAATAACTTAATAATTAATTTAATACATGAGTAACTTTAAAGATCAATTTACATGATCTTGACGTTTCCATGTCCCTCTTTGTAAGTGCAAATCTACCTTCAATAAAAGGAAAAAAAACCGTTATGCCTACATTGATGTAGATAACTCAACTATTCCCTTCCAGCATTCAAGGCCGTTTTTACAAACCTCAATGCCAGTGGGAGATTTGGTCCAACAAGGCTGGGCAGTCACTACACAGGACAGGATCATGATGGACAAGTTACTCTGTCCATTGGTATTCAAAACTGGACTGTGCCGCACACTGGTGACTACAGAATAGAAGCAATAGGAGCAGCAGGGGGGTACGATGTACACGCTAACAGCACTCAGCACGTGCACCAGGGAAGAGGAGCAAGAATGATTGGAACATTCAGTTTAGACAAGGGTGGAGTCATTCAGATACTTGTCGGTCAAGAAGGAGGAATAAACAAAGGGTATCGCAGTTCTGGAGGTGGTGGAGGTACTTTCGTGGTGAGAGGAGCCAACACACCTTTGATAGTAGCTGGAGGCGGAGGAGGGGTAAGTGCAGTTTGGTCAAGACATGAAGGATGTGACGCCAGCACAAACACAGCAGGGAATCCAGGATACAAATCATGGTCAGGGGGAAGCAATGGACATGGTGCACAGACTGCAGATGATCGTGCTTCAGGTAAGAGTATATCGCGATGATTCCTTGCAACTCAGCTGTTCATTTAATGTTCTATCCTAGCTACATGATAAAGGGCGCTCTAATTGGTTTCTAATTCATGAGAAAGAAATGGATGGTGCATGGAGATGGTTCAGGTTGACGTCATTGTCGGTGAAAAGTTTCTATTGAGTTTAGCCGCGAGGTTTCAAAACTTTAAAGATCGTTTTTTCGTTCTACTCCGATTTAGAAGAACCCATTGGAGCTCAAAAGTAATAAGAACTCGATATACGCATTGGAAGCATGAACCGATTCTTTGATAGAAACAACTTTCCGGCTCGATTCCGTTTGCATAAGGTTCACTCTTCAGCGCCACGAAGTGCTTCTAAATCATATGAAATTGTTAATATTATGCAATTATTGACTGAGAGGGAGGGATGGACGAGAGAAAAGATAATAATAGTAATAATTTCTTTCATAAATGAACTTTGAATATATGAAAATCATATATGTGTACTGCAGATTCATGAAATGTATGAAAGCGATCCTCGCAGTAATAAACCCTACTTAGGTAGTAGTGGAAATAAGGCCGGAAATAATATTAAGACCCGTACGGGATTTCAGCCCATAACTTCTGCAATACTGGTGCAGTGCTCTACCAACTGGGCTATGATGTTCATATATTCAAAATTAATTGATTTATATCACTGGTATTATAGAAGCTATATACAAATATCAAACCTCAAGGATAGCGGCTCAATTAAAATGCATCATATAAAGATTTTGCTGAGCTGATATGGGTTCAGTGGAGCGTTTTAAAACACGATAAAAAAAATTCCAAAAGTCGAATGGGTTAACATTCCATCAAACATAGTTTCGCTTTTGTTTACTAAAATCTTGAGATACATTTATTGGATTTCAGGTGGTGGTGGTGGCGGGTTTTACTCCAGTGGGAGAAGCGGAAAAAATTTTAATGGAACAGAAGGAAAGGGTGGAGAAGGTGGTAAGGGGTTTAGTCAGGGAGGGGTGGGTGGAAGAGCCATGCATAACGATGTCGATGGTGGGTTTGGTGGAGGTGGTGGAGCTAATGGAGAGGGAAAAGGAGGAGGAGGAGGAGGAGGAGGGT